CGCCGAAACTTTTCTGATTGTAAGCTCTATAAAGCTAAGACAAATGAGATGACCCTGAGATGATCATGATCGTTTTATAGAGGTGTTGGAATCTAAATCAGTACCTCAATTTTAGCAATTTGATATTTGCGGTTCAACATGCAATGTATTGTTCTAATATTTGATGTTACATTATTTGTTTATTATTATTTTGCATGAATTTATTGCACGTTTGTGATGCTGAACATTCAGTTCAATGTTACCATTTTAACGAATCACATTTGTATTTTTCAGTGAATGACTCTAAAGCAACGTTTCAATGGAACACTTCATAGATTCTCGACAGCAAATGGGATTTTTCATAAAATAATCTCATTTGCCATTGTTGATTTCTCACCATTTCAAATATTCATTCTGATCTGTCAACTGATCACTCTTTTTACCGTTACCATCCTATCACCCTTCTTAATCAGGTATTATGATCTCAATGATTAAATTTTTTCGCCCATTCTATTATTTTTCAAATATTTTTCTAAGTTATCACCCATTTATCTTGTGAAACGTGTACGACAATGATACTGTTAATACTGTTGTATTGAAATGATTCTCCAGTTTAAAATCGCAGATTGATTCTGACTTTCCGATGGAAATGTTCATGAATTTTCAATGGCAGTGGTGATGATGACCGTAAAATAACAATAATATTAATGTTTCAAATGAGTTATGAACACAAAACCTGAACGGTTGCTATATAAAGAGAAATGGATAAATAATGATAAATGCATATGGATGATAAATACATGTTAATAAAGCTAAGCTCTAATTACAGGTACGTGTGTTTACCATCGCAGATCCAGTTGAAATCTCCGTTGGAATTCACATTCGAAACATGTCATGAGAACTTGGCTGGAGTATGTTCATATCCTACCGCTACAGTTTCATTGAATGAGGTTTGTTTTCATATCTTATTTATGGATTTTGAGAATTTAATAAATCGTCCGAATGTTGCAATCAGAACGATTTTTTGATTCATATTTATAGGTGATTAAATTGATACCATTACCACTTTTGATAGTATAATAGTAGCAGTTGTAATATAATAATGACAATGTTAACAATAATAATAGCGGTAATATAGTAACATTAAATGATGTTATGTAACCATTGACTATATGGATAAAATGATAGTAAAATGTCTGTGTGCATTGGTTGCGTTTTAGAACAACTGGGAATTGAACGAGGATCAGTGGTACGATATTCGCATTGAAGTGATCTTATCCGACGTTATAAGCAGTCAGAATCTGGGTCAGTTTCAAGTTTTATTCGAGGCGTACGATGCTAACCGTCAAAGAATCGTTTCCTTGAGACGAACCGCAAGAGTGATAGATGCTCGAACTTATTTGGATTCGGTGAATATCATTCGTTGCTTTATTTATCTTTGCATTTTGTCAGCACCATTTACTTTGTTCCATTCATTCAACAAATTAAAATATCTAGTGACCAAGTGAATGAATGTGTTATTTTTTAAATATAATGTTGATCTCGTGATATTATAGGATATAATCTGACAACAGTTTATTTGAAGTATTATCATGCCATAAAGTTATTTTAGTATATTCATTTGTCAATTATATTATAAATGATATTCAAAATTCTAATCGTGATTGTATTATCCTGCATTCGAATTTAGGATGCCTCCTAGACAGCACAACTGAAGAATATGTGATCAAAGGTGTGATGCCTATTTAATAAGTTCTTATTTTTAGGTGAAATATCTGATGTTCTTGCCGTTTTATTTTATGGGAATATGGCATAACATTGCGCGTCCAATGGTTTCAGTGGAACTCAATGATAAATTCCTGCAGTTTAGCAATAGAGCAACGGATTATGTTGCTGTACAATTGCAGAATAGACTTGCTGAGGTTCATTTTTGTATTAATGTTTATTCAGTCATTTGAAAAATGTTATGGAATTATTTATTGATTAGCCAGAGATTAACTTATTGTTCACTAATAGTGATTTTTGTTGAAGATTGACGCAGGCACTGTTGTGATTAGTGCTCATCTTGGCTTATTTCGTCGATTCTTATTTGAATGGCCAGTTTTGTCAACACTTTTGATTGGTTTATTGGCATATTCGTGGTGTTTTGTGTCGATTGTATTCTATTGGTTATGTCGAAGTTTGTTCGTTTATCTGAAATACAATGGGAGTAGTTCGAATAACGAACGTGATGATAACTATAACAGCAATAGAAACCAAGTGAACGTCGAACGTCGAGGCAATAATATTTCATTATCAGCATCTGAATCTTCGCCAACATGTTTATCGATGTTATCACATTTGGACACTGCATCAGATGAATTTCATGCGATGAAAACTTCGGATCCGATTCATTCAAAGGTAATGTATTTATTCAACGATTTGTTTGCTCGTTGTTTTGTTCCGTATTTGGGATTGTTCTGTGAAAACTTGAAAAATTTATGACTGAAAATTGTTTACAAATGATTCACGTGCTGAGGAATTTGATATGTTACGCATGCATTAGTATGATTTATTTGCATACGGTTTCGTTGTGAATTTTTTCGTCAGAGATAAGAGAGCAGAGGAATGAGTTGTGTTATGAAATTTGGTTATTGATTGAATTATTGCTGCTGTTGTGCATTTTAAGAGTTGGCTTACAATTAGTTTGTTTTCCTCAAATTTAGTTTTTGAAGTAACAATCAAAATATTTGAAGGATACAGATTCAAGTAACAAAAATGAACGTAAAATCTCGCACTCAATGCCGAAATCGAAACGTTTCTCAACGGATAAAAAGAATCGAGTTGGGAGTAAATATTCAATGGAACCAAAGCAGTTAGCGAATTTATTGGAGTCTTTTATCGAGAAGTCGCATTCAACTGATGTGAATGAGGATGTCATCAGGACTGTTCAGGTTTATTTTTATTTCAGGTTTATTTTTAACATCTATTATTATTTATTTGAGGTTATCGATTCACTTTGATAATTTATTCCTTTATTTCATTGCCTTTCTGAGGTTGTGATAATATCGGTCTCATTTTTAAATTTATCATATTGTTGTTATTCTTATTGTTACAGTTATTGTCGGTGTTTTATATTATTGTTATTACTATTCTGATCACCGTTATTATTTTATTTATGAAACTTTTGTATTCATTCAATACGGAAACAGAGTGACTAATTGTTCAGTCGAAGTGAAGTTGAAAGTATTCATCAAAATTTTGGATTGACTAAAACAATAGTTTGGATATGTTTAATGATATTGAACTTAAGTCTCTCGTCAATGGTAGAATCGGCACAACGAGCGCGGCGATTCACCTCCGAAAGTTGGTGAATATCAATGAGTGCCTTAATCTTTCGGCTGTTCTACAGAAGGTATTTGAGTAGTTATGATTTGAATGATCGTATTTATAATGAGCAATATTATCGTAACGTTGTGTTTATTATTATTATTTACAGTTCAGTCATTAAAACGATTTTTGAGCAGTGTTAAATAGATTTTGTTTTATAATATTATTTATTCAAATATTGTTCATAAATATTTTTCGTGTCTCGATAACGCTATTAGTAACGAATGATTAAGGTTTGAGCAATTTTAGTCGTTACCAGCGTTAATAGAAGCAATGAAAGGTTATGAGGTGAGCATCAAAGGAATAAAACTGGAAGAGGAATCGAAACCGGATGAATCTGATTCAGTGAAACAATTACTGCCTTCAACAACAACATCAGTGACATCGAAATTGTTTAAGAATNCCACCAAGGATTCTCCTAAATTTGAGGTGATATTGCATTTTTGATTTCATTCCATTGCAGCGTTGAACATTGCGATAGAGGAAGGAAAAGATTTGTAGTCATTCAAGAGAATCGAATGAATAGTTCATATGTGGACGTTGTGCGATTGTTTCAAAATGCAATCGTTCCATTTTGAGAATACTAATTTTGTAATGAATGGACAAAAAATGCTTTATAAAGTTCATTGGATTGTGGAGAATCGCTTAAGTTTTATGATTCTGAAATATTTTGTTACGTTATACTGAACGGAAACTTGTAATGAGCGTTCATATGAAAATGAATTCAGGTGAAAGGAGAAGTGAAAGATGTGGTGAATAATGAGAAGGGGAAATTGCCGGATACGAGTGATACGATAGCCGACAATAATAATATTGATGATATTAATGAAGAGCCGGAATGTGTGCAATTCAGTGACATTCCTGGCTGGACTGTTGAACCAGTTGAGCCACCGACAAGTCTACGTAAACGAATCGTACATAATCCAAGCAAAACAGATTTAATGTGATCTTTTTTTATTAATAGACTCATAGATTTATTATATTATTGACAAGTCTGATTATGTTTATATCATCTTCTGTATATGTACATTTGTAAATGATTATTTTTGTTCTGG